TAGAAAAAATGGATGTATATGCGGATACAAATTTTCGTCGACGATTTGGGAACACGGATCACAACCGATTTGAATAATTCAAAAAACATTTGATTTGTATTGATAAGGAGACGTGCCTGATTAGTTTTTTGCGAGGCAGTCTAGCCGTTCCGAAGATACGGGGCAAAAAGTGCCAAAAACGGTACCTCCGTTTTTAAGAGAACGGAGCGTCCAATTTGAATAATTCAAAAAACATTTTACTTGTATTGACAAGATATGTAGAATTGATCAAATTTTTCATCTAGCGGTTTCGGAGATCTAATGAAAAAAGTAAAAAAAATGCTATATTCGGCGGTTAAAAATGATCATCAGACATACGCACATCAAATTATCAGATATTTTATAGAGATTTTAACAATAAGTATAATTTTTTTTTTATTTCTATGGGTTCCGTACCAATGCTTATGCGTTGGCGGCGGCGCGGGCACTTGCGAGCTTTGACATTTCATCTCTGCAGTTCAAGCAGTGCGATTGCTTTGAAAAAAAGTTCAGAATTTCCAAAATATGTCAAAATGAAGAAACATTTTTTTCAAAAATTTTTTGTTTTCAAAAAAATTTTTTTTCTCAAATTTTTTTTTTCAAATGAAATTTTTTTTTTTTCAAAAAAAAGTAATTTTTTTGTCAAATTTATAGTTTCTCTCAAAAATCTATTTTTTTTTAAGTAATTTTTTTTCAAAAATGTTATCGTTTTTAAAAAAATAATAATTTTTGGTACGGGAAGTTCCAGCATTTTGCCTTAAGGCACGATGCCCCATTGCCTTAAGACAGAATTCCACTTACAGCTAGTTTTTACTATAATTGGTTATTTTTAATATAGTTCATGTCCCAAGTTAGATATAAATGCACACTATGAACAAATAAAATTTCAAATCGGTTTAGTAGTTTAGAAGTCCATTTAAGACAAAAATCGTGACACTATATAAAGTACATGAGACCCTAAATTTTCACGTTCTTTTCATTAACCCCTATTTTGTAATAATTATACACTCTACAAACTGAAACCGTTGACAAATTTAACAAAAATATAATAGAGATGAGACGAAAGTCAGAGTCCAATTTGCTCCATGTCTTTTCTTTGTTCAAGAAGAAATGTTGTTGGGGTTATCTTATTAATAGACATGAATATTGTATTCATTACAGAATAATGTATCGTGTACTCCAGAACTGTTCAACAGATATTGCACACGAAGATTCAATAATCATCCGATGAATTTGCTACGTGCCATTTGAAGGGCATCGACAATCCACCACAAGTTGATGGTTCCATGGTAAGTGATATATATACATATAATATATATATATATATATATATACTAGCTGACCCGGCAAACGCTGTTTTGCCATCAAAAACATTTTGCGGCTTTGCAGAAGTTCTTATTAAACAAGATATATTTATAATGATGTGGAAGTTGTAATGTATAATAAAAGTATAAACTCCCAACGTATAAAAATATATAAAATTTATTCATTATAAAATATTACTCATATGAAAAATATAAAAATGACAAGTACCATTGTTTTTTACAAATCATGACTAGCCTGCTTGATCCCCACAATGATATTATATTTTTATTACACAAATTTCTTTACATTTCGATAATTATAAATATCAGATTTTTTACTTTTGCATTTATTTAAAAATATTAAATGTCAATTTCATATATCAAATATGCACTAAATTTTTAAATGCCAAAATATTTCCTTCTTGATCGAAATTTAATATAATATGATATAATTTATATCTATAATTTGATTGCCAATTTGCCTATAACATAACTTGGAATAATTAATTTATTTATATCTTATTGAAGTCGTTTAAAAATTCATTTTTTTTGAACTGTCAGAATTTGTTTATGATTAATGTTAAATTCAATATGTTGCGTTTTTATTGTGACCTATAATGTTTTAATCACTTATCATATAAATTTTCGACTATAAATTGATATTCATACTATCCCTGAAACTAACATGGATAAAGTTGTGAGAAATCAGAGTCCAAATCTATTAAATGTTTGATTTTTGGCACTTTTATTAATATTTTATCAATTTTCGTACTGTAAAATAATGGATGATTATTTATCAAAATTGTAATATTTAGATATATTTAGATGATTTAGATGATTTAGATAATTTTAGATGCATATACTATCTGTTTTGGCATAGCAATTAGTTTTTTCTTTATTTGAAATCAAGTGAAACATAAATATATTTATTTGATATTTTTCGATAAATATCCGATTTATGACATTGTTTTCAATTATTTTTAATTTATTTTGAATTAGCAAATGTCAAAAAATATAATTAAATATTCATTAAATGTTGTCTATAAATAATATGTCATTTAATAAGTATTATTTATTACTTTGGTGCTTAAAATATTCTTTCTGACAAATATAAATCGTAAATCTATTTATATAATTATTTTCATAAATACTGACAAATGACATTTGACGTTTTTTGTGTCAACATTTATTTTAATTTATTTATTTTTAATTAGATTTAAAACTATAAATTGTGATTTTGAATATAGCATTTCATCTCATTTCATTTTTCAAAAATCATAGATCTTTTTTTTTCTTGAATTTTCCATAAATTTTGACATTTGTCATTTTAGTGTTTTGTTTTTTTTTGGTCATTTTCTGTCAAAATTTTTAGAAATTTATAAAAATTATGTATTTATATTTCAAATTTACTTTTCAAAATTTCCTATAACCTAAGTTGGATATATTTGCACACGATAAGTCAATAAAATTTAAAATCGGTTCAGTAGTTTGGGCGTCCATCGCGAACCAACATCGTGACACGAGATTTATATATATATATATATATATAGATAGATATATATACATATATATATATAACTATTACTACATCCGTTTTTATTTTTTAGCTTACAACGTGTTAGGATTTTTCTGGGTGCTGTTCTTCATATCAGCTTTGGGTGACATGATTTTGGCTGCAACTTTTGCAACATGGTATTGGACTTTTAATAAAGATGATGTGCCTTACTTTACCTTGACTGCTGGACTTATGAGAACGATAAGGTAATATCAACTGATATGATTCAATTTAAATTAGATCGAGGTTTTATATAATACTAGCAAACCCGACGAACTCCGTTTCGCCACCAGATGGTTTCGTGAGAAAGATGAAGAAATTTTTTGTTTGTTTTATATTTGAAAAGGAAAAATTTGATTTTATTATACAACAGTAATGAATTTATTTTGATTACAAAAATGAAGTGTTTTTTAGTTGAACTTCTCTAAGTAAATGAAAGTGAATCCGCAAATTATCCGTTTCATTGAAGTGCTGTTTGGTAAACCACATTTTTTGTTTTTTGGTCTGACGTCGTTAACACAAACAAAGCGGATGGTTTTCCAACTCGTGAACAAGCAACGTATAACTGCCCATGTGAAAAACAATGATTTTCTAAATAATCTATTTGAAATTTATCCCGCAAACACTAAGCGATTGGCCTTGCGACTTGTTATTGCGAACGCAAGGCGAACTGGAAATTGCAATCGTTTGAAGTCAAACGGAAGACCAGTCGGAATCATTGGTATGTCACCAAATCGCCAGCAATTTTTGATTGAATGGTGAAATTCAGTACGTGTACATCATTATTCTTTGCGGCAAGAATTGCTCGTTGACATAACCAAGCATAATTCTGATAATTCTCACTAATGTCATCACTCGAATTTTTAATGCAAAATTGTCGAAATCGGTTCGTGCGTTCTGGAGTTATTTCGTCAGGAAGGAAAACCCGACTTATTTTTGTATATATAGAAGATTATTTTTGTATTTCAGGTATCATCTGGGTACTTTAGCCTTTGGTTCACTTATTTTAGCAATATGTCGAATAATCAGAGTTATTTTGGAATACATCGACCAGAAGTTAAAGAAGTTTGATAATCCTTGCACTCGATGCTTGCTGTGCTTTTTGAAATGCTTCTTCTGGTGCTTGGAGAATTTTATTAAATTCATCAACAAGTGGGGAAATTAACATACATACACGTATATACGAGTATATGAGTATAAATATATGCAACTATTGTTTTTTTTACAGAAATGCTTATATAATGTGTGCAATCCATGGTAAAAATTTCTGTGCAAGCGCTAGAGACTCCTTTGCACTAATTTTGCGAAATTGTACGAAATATATAGTCGTCGATAAGGTAAGATATATATATATATATATATATATATATATATATATGAGTGAGTTCTTGAGGGCGATACATCAAACAAAGAAAAGCCAAAGATTTATAAAATAATCTTTATTTCCAAACGTTTCGACATTCAATTTAATGTCATCATCAGTGGATCTAAAAACAGTATGAAAATTAGCATATCTAGGTATTATAATATATGTGGATTGGTAAAGTAACTATACGATAAGAGAAAAATAACAAATAGCACACTTAACAACAAATCAAATATAAAAGATAGGAAAGGTAGTAGAGACTAGAATTAAATAAATAATTAAAAAGTATAGGCAAAAATATTTAAGTACACTCATATAAACTTACGCATATATACATATATGTACGTACACATATACACACATATACATATATATATACATATATATATATATATACATGCATATATCCATATACACACATACAAACATATAATACACATATACATATACAGATACCTGTTTCATATCAATATGTGACCACGTGGTGAACAAAAGATCGGATTCCTCCTTACTCTGCGATAACTACCAAGTAATACTAAATAATGTTTCCAAATTTATCTCCTCTGAACAAAACTAATTGACCTTACTAACCTTGCCAACACTTCCTAGTTTAACTTCGGCCTTGATACCCGAGCTTTACCTACCCATACATAGCAAATTTTGAATAAACCTTAAAAAAATTTTATTTTAGATTTTTGAGTTATTAGTATAACTACTTAGTAATACTAAATAATATTTCCAATTTTTTTCTCCTAATTCTAACCATACAAACCTAGCCTAACATTACTAGTTTCAACTTCCGACTATTTTCTACCTACCCGCCCATAACAATCCTGGAATGACCCTTAAAAATCTCTCAAAACATGTGGTGACTTTTATACATGCCTCGGTACTAGCAAAGTACAGAAGTCGTGGCAGAAATTACATAATTCTACTTACATTTTTGTTCAATAAAACTATCATTTTTCTGTTTACATCATACAAAAAAATTATATAAAAAAATGCATAGTGCTGACAAGTTAGTTGTATAAATGTTAGTGCCAAATCTCTAGTGCTGTGTACACTTCTCTATATGTAACTAACCAACGTAATGTAAGTCCACTTGTATTTTATATGTATTATCCATCTTCATAAATAATTTGTTTGCTTTACATATATACGAGTTTACATATATTGTATGTTTATATATATATATATATATATATATGTATTTGTATGTATGTATGTATATATATGTATATTGCTTATTTACATGTATGTTTGTATGTATGTGCATATTTATATGTGTATACATGTAATTATATATACGTATATATGCATGTATGTATGTGTATATATATATATATGTGTATATATATATGTATATGTATATGTATATATATATATATATATATGTATATGTATATGTGTATATATATATATATATATAAATATATATTTGTGAGCATTTATGTACATATGTATATATATATGTATTGTGTGTATATATATATATATATGTATGTATATATATGTATATATATGTGTGTATATATGTGTATATACATGTTTATGCGTATATGTATGTGTATACGTGTATAGCTATAGTTACATAGATAGGTATGAGTATATGTATGGTTCATACATGTACATGTACGTCGTTGTGAATATGCATGCACGTTGCATATATGTATATACGTATATTTATATGTGTATAGTCTTACATGTATATGTGTACATATATAGGTATATATTGTTGTATCTGTATATGTATATGTGTATTATATGTTTGTATGTGTGTATATGGATATATGCATGTATATATATATATATGTATATATATATGTATATGTGTGTATATGTGTACGTACATATATGTATATATGCGTAAGTTTATATGAGTGTACTTAAATATTTTTGCCTATACTTTTTAATTATTTATTTAATTCTAGTCTCTACTACCTTTCCTATCTTTTATATTTGATTTGTTGTTAAGTGTTGCTATTTGTTAATTTTTCTCTTATCGTATAGTTACTTTACCAATCCACATATATTATAATTACCTAGATATGCTAATTTTCATACTGTTTTTAGATCCACTGATGATGACATTAAATTGAATGTCGAAACGTTTGGAAATAAAGATTATTTTATAAATCTTTGGCTTTTCTTTGTTTGATGTATCGCCCTCAAGAACTCACTCATATATTTCAACATCAAAATTAACTACTAAATCATATATATATATATATATATATATATATATATATATAGGGCCGGTCCTGGGGTCCTCAGCGCCCGCATGCAAGATTTGTTCTAGCGCCCCCCCCCCCCAATAATTTCAACTGTTTTATCAGTTTTTCATTAAAATTATATAAACATTTACTTTATTATTTCAAATAAATTTTTAATCATTCTGAATTTAGTACACAAAAATTTAGATGTAATTTAGATTAAAAGCGTATAAAATACATTGATTTTAAATTTATTTAGAAAATCGAGGCGATTAGCGGGTTGATCATAATCAAATATTTTTAAATTCTCAATTATTTCTAACGTAGGTGTAATATTAATATTTTGGTTTTGAAACATTCAACTTATTTATTATGCGATTTATTCTATAGAGCAAATCACGCCAAAAGAGCAAAAAAAGAATAGTCTTTAATTTTTAAACATAACATTCGTATTTTATGTTTTAAATTAAATTTTATTTTAATTTGTTTTTTCATTATTCACAATATCTAAAATTGCATCGTAAACTTCTCCATATTGGTATCGTAAGGGCCGAATTGTATTCAGCTTTACTTTCCCATCAGATTCAAAGTATCAGATTGTTGTTTTAAAGTTAAAAGTTAACGTATTTTTGAAGTATTGTCCAAAATTAGTAAAAGATGCAAAGAAATTACATATTTCCTTAACTGTACTGAAACAAACAAATTATATTTGTATCTGTATTATTTCTGCATAGTTAATAATTCAATTATGTATAAAAAAAGCTTAAAGATCTTTGTTCCTAAGTACATTTTGCTTTCATTTTTCATATTTGCTCCATTTCCATAACCCTAACCATGCATGTCTTCAACATTCAAAATTCATCAGATGCGAAACATTTGCAACAAAAGCAAAAGTTACAATTCAATTTCTCGGAATAAACAAGTCATTTTCTAAGCACTGACTCCCATTTTTTTATAATTTGTTTATATTTTTTAACAAGTTCCGATTCAACTAAATTAGCTCGTAATTTTTCGTCAATAATGCCCAACAATTAATTTAATCTTTCGCAGATTTGCGCTTATGGGATTGAACACTAGATAATTTCTTTTTCGATTCCACGGTAACTTCAAACAAAGAAAATATTGAATAAGTAGATTAAGCAATAAACAGAGCTGTTATTTACTAATTTGCAGAATTATTAATCATTTAATTGTTTCTACTGATATCACATTGCAAAATAAAAATGCTTTTTGTGTCTCCGTATCCCTAGTTAAATTATTTATTATAATTTATTAAGTATTCTAGATTTTACATAAATAATTCTAGATTTTATATGAAAAATATAAATATCATATTATAAATTTAATTTCCGAAACTCGTTTTGGCGCCCCCTAAGGCTTGCGCCCGCATTTTTTGCATGCATCGCATGCAAGGCAGGACCGGCCCTGTATATATATATATATATATATATATATATATATATATATATATATATATTCTTCTCCGATTTTTATTTAATGCACAATTTTATGTACAATTTTAGACTACCGAGTTTGTGTTCTTCATGTCAAAAGTGTTAATAAGCGCCGGAATGGGCGCCCTATCATATTTATACTTCGGGAACGACTGGGCCCAATTAAATGACGACTCTTTGCATTATGGATACGCCCCTGTGATTTTGGTTGTCATCGGTACATTCTTTATAACATGTGTCTTCTTCGGTGTTTATGATATGGCAGTCGATACTTTACTTTTGTGCTTTTGTAAGTATAAATAATATTTAAGACTAAGGGACAGATTCTGCCGCATAATAGAAAAATGTTATGGCAAGGCCATTGTATTAAGAAGATATTGACAGAAGCCATGCGGTTGCTGTGCAGTTAGGCCTATTTTTCAGGTTATCAGATAGAAAACCTAACCTAGAAAAAAAAACTAGCTGTAAGTGGAATTCTGTCTTAAGGCAATTAAGGCATCGTGCCTTAAGGCAAATTGCTGGAACTTCCCGTATCAAAAATTTTTATTTTTTTTAAAAACGATTAACATTTTTAAAAAAAATTTACTTCAAAGAACAATATTTTTGAGAAACTATAAATTGGACAAAAAATTACTTTTTTTTGAAAAAAAAAATTAAAAAAATTTTTTTTTTAATTTTTTTTTTTTTTTAAAAAAAGTTTTCTTCATTTTGACATATTTTGGAAGATCTAAACTTTTTTTGAAATCAATCGTACTGCTTTAACATTTTTGAAAAAATTTTACTTCGAAAAAATAAGATTTTTGAGAAACTATAAATTGGACAAAAATTTACTTTTTTTTTGAAAAAAAAATTAAAAAAAAAAAAAATTTATTTAATTTTTTTTTTGGAAAAAAAATGTTTTCTTTATTTTGACATATTTTGGAAGATCTAAACTTTTTTTTAAAGCAATCATACTGCTTTAACATTTTTGAAAAAATTTTACTTCGAAAAAATAAGATTTTTGAGAAACTATAAATTGGACAAAAATTTACTTTTTTTTTGAAAAAAAAAATTAAACTTGCTGTAAGTGGAATTCTGTCTTAAGGCAATTAAGGCATCGTGCCTTAAGGCAAATTGCTGGAACTTCCCGTACCAAAAATTATTATTTTTTTAAAAACGATTAACATTTTTGAAAAAATTTTACTTCGTAAAATAAGATTTGTGAAAAACTATAAATTAGACAAAAAATTACTTTTTTTTGAAAAAAAATTAAAAAAAATTTTTTTTTTAATTTTTTTTTTTTGAAAAAAAAAATGTTTTCTTCATTTTGACATATTTTGCAAGATCTAAACTTTTTTTCAAAGTAATCGTACTGCTTTAACTGCATAAAGAAGAAACATCAAAGCGCGTAAGCGCCGCGTAAACATTGGTACGGAACCCATAGGAATATAAACAAAATTTATACTTATTGTTAATATCTGTATAAAATATCTGATAATTCGATGTGCATATGTCCAATTATCATTTTTGACCGCCAAATGGCATTTTTTTTTACTTTTTTCACTAGATCTTTGAAACCGCTAGACCTGCCTTCATGAAAATTTTATCAATTCTTCATCGTGTCAATACAAGTAAAATGTTGTTTGAATTATTAAAATCAAACGCTCCGTTCTCTTAAAAACTGAGTTACCGTTTTCGGAACTTTTTGCCCCGTATCTTCGGAACGGCTAGAGCTGCCTTCGCCAAAAACTAATCAGCACGTCTCCTTATCAATACGAATCGAATGTTCTTTGAATTATTCAAATCGGTTGATTGGTGTTCCCGAAATCGTCGACGAAAATTTGTATCCGCACATACATACACACACGCACATACATACACACACGCACATACATACACACACACACACATACACACACACACATACATCCATTTTTTCTAAGGTATGCCAAAATATTCAGAAACCTTTGAAACGTCGAGAAATGCAAACATTTTCATTTTCGATTTTTTTGCGTTTACTATAACTTGCCCTACGGGAAGTTAAAAAATCTTAACCAGAGTAAATGTTCCCTAACCTAGAAACTATGTTACATAACAGGGTCTTTCTGATCCAGCTTCATTTTCTATTATGCGGCAGAATAGGTCCCTAAATAAGTAAGTTGATTATATTTTATTTATTTTTCTCTTTAGTGGAAGACAGCGAACGAAATGATGGATCACCTGAAAGACCTTATTATATGTCGAAAGAGCTCATGAAGATTTTAGGCCGAAGGAACAAAGTCGTCGAGGACTAGATTTTACATCTTTCAGCCAACTTCCAAATTTTACCGATTAATTTGAATTTATTTTAATTTATTACCAGAGTGGAAGATTGCTCAAAAAAACAATCAAAAAGGACAGAAAACGCGCATAAGGTTGTATGTTTTTTTAGAAGATAAATATAATATGTTATTGATTCATACAAATTTTGCATTATAGTTACCATAAGAATTGAATTTATATATTATATATATACGGTAAGTTTAAATATAGATACGTATTTATTTTTACTATTCAAATACTAAGTGTCTTAAATGTGAAATATGATGCTCAAATTATATTGTAGCTTTGAATAAGATAAGATTTTTATAAAGCTCAATTTTAAAAAATATATATACAGGGTGTCCCAGAGCTCAACGTCAAGCCGTAATATGAAAAATTTGGAAAAAATTTGACATTGAGTTTTGGGTTACCCTGTATATATTTAAATCACTTACCTATTGTTATTAAGCAATTTTAATATATTTATATTCCTAAATGTGCTGTAACTGCCAAAAGTATGTTAATATTTAAAAAATACGAAACAGATTTATGTAAAATTTTTTATGCTGTATTATACTTATATACGCTTTTATAAATGTAACTTTAATAAATATTTTATTTAATTATAAATATTCTTGAATGGCTATTTCATTCGTAACTAAGTAACGTGACTCTGGCTAGCCTGCTATCAGGCAGCAACGATGTTCATTTTCAGTTGAAAAAACAGATAAGAAATTTGTTTAAATCGAAAATAGCCATGCACAAAAATTGCGGATTTTTATCAAAAGATTCAGAATGTCTTGAAACGTCCGAGTTCAGCAAATCGGATTTTCTAGCAAAGACATAAACTTTTTCTTCGGGAAGTTAGTATTAAAATGCTTTAGCACATTTGGCTTTTTGAGGGTAAAAAAATTGCATTTTGGCCGAAAAGGGACTGACAAACAAAATTATTCCAACCACAAAGAATACATTAGTGAAATAATTATGTAGATCAGATATTATGGAAATCTAGTGATGAGCAAACTCAATCTCGACTTGAAAAGAACAATTTTTAAAATTCTATCTTTGAAGCATTGGTTAAATAAGATTGACAAGTATACTCGTCATGGAGAAGTATCAGAATTTTGCCCATTGTCGGGTATATTCGCGATGAAGAAATGACAAGTATACTCGTCATGAATTTTGTATGCTGACGAGTATAAATCTTGAAGAATTCAGGAAAAATGGACGAATACGAATCATAGAGAAGTGTCAAGATTTTGTGTATTGACGAATATACTTGTCATGGACAATTGCCAAAATTGTGTCTATTAAGGAGTACTAATCACAAAGAATTCAGAAAGAATTAAAAGAACAGAAAGAATTGACGGATATGAATCATGCACAAGTGTCAAAATTATATGTATTGACGAGTAAACTCGTCATGGACAATTGCCATTTTTTTTATTTGTTTAAGAATCTAAAAGAAATTTAAAAAATCAGAAATAATTTACAAATGGAAGAATTGACGAATATAAATCGTGGAGAAGTGTAAGGATTTTGTTTATTGACGAGTATACTCGTCACGGACAATTGCTTACTTTTGTGTATATGTGTAAGAATTTAGAAAAAAATTTAAAAATCAAAAAGAATCAGCGAATATAAATCATGGCAAAGTGTCAAGACATTGTGTATTGACGAGTACACTCGTCACGAATAAGTGTCAAAATTGTATGTATTATCGAGTATAATCGTCATTGAGAAGTGTCTGAATTTTGTTCATAGACGTCATGAAGAAGTAGTAAAATTGTGTGTATTGACGAGTATACTCGCCTTGAAGTGTCAGAATTTTGTTTATTGACGGGTATACTCGTTATGGGGGAATGTCAGAATTTTGTGTATTGACAAGTATACTCGTCACGTAAAAGTGTTAAAATTTTATGTAATGACGAGTATAAATCATAAAGAATTCAGAAAGAACTGAAAGAATTGACGAATATAAATCCTGGAGAAATGCCATGCTTTTGTGTATTGACGAGTATACTCGTCATGGACAATTGCTTAATTTTTTATATTTGTGTAATAATTTAGAAAAAAATTAAATAATCAAAAAGATTTGGCGAATATAAATCGTGGCAAAGTGTCGAGATATTATGTATTGACGAATACAGTCGTCACGAAAAAGTGTCAAAACTTTGTTAATTGTCGAGTATACTCGTCATTGAGAAGTGACAAAATTTTGTGCATAGACATGAAGAAATAGTAGAATTTTGTGTATTAACGAGTATACTCGTCAAGAAAAACTTCAGAATTTTGTTAATTGATGATTATGCTCATCATGGTGACGTGTCAGAGTTTTGTGCTTTGACGAGTGTATTCGTCATGGACAGTTGTCAAAGTTTTGTGTATTGAGGTATACAAATCATGAAGAACTGAAAAAAAAAAACAGAAATAATGGACGAAAATAAATCATGAAGTATAAGTGTCAGGATTTTGCGTATTGACGAGTATATTTGTCATGGACAATTGCCAAATTTTGTGTATTTGTGTAAGAATGATAGAAAACAAATACAAAAATCAGAAAGAATTAATGAATATAAATCAAAGAAGTGTCAGGTTTTTGTGCATTGACGAGTATACTCGTCATGAAGAAGAGTCAGAATTTTGTACATAGATATCATGAAGGAGTTTTGAAAGAAAAATGAATTTGAATATAAAATTTTGCTTAACAACGAGTATACCCGTCATTGAGAAGTGTCAGAATGTTGCGCATTGACGAGTATACTCGTCATGGACAATTGTCAAAATTTTGTGCGAAAATATAAACCATAAAGAATTCAGAAAGTATTGAATAAATCAGAATTAATGGAACGGATATAAATCGTGGTATGACAAAATTTTGTGCATTGACGAGTATACTCGTCATGGACAATGGGAAAATTTTGTGTATAGAGGAGTACAAATCATAAAAAATTAAAAAAAACGTAAAGAATTGACTAATATAAATCACGGAGAAGTGTCAGGATTTTGTGCATTGACGAGTATACTCGTCCTAAAGAAGTGTCAAAATTTTGTGCATTGACGAGTATACTCATTATGAGGGACGAGGAGTACAAAACATGAAGAATTTAGAAAAAGTTAAAAAAAAATCAGATAGAATTGGCGGATATGAATCATGGAGTATAATTGGCAGGATTTTGTGTATTGACGAGTATACTCGTCATGGACAATTGGCAAAATTGTGTGTATTAAAGAGTACAAATCATAAAATAAATTAAAAAATTAAAAAAATAAGAAAGAATTGACTAATATAAATCACGGAGAAGAGTCAGAGTTTTGTGCATTGACGAGTATACTCGTCATGAAAAATTGACAGAATTTTGTGTATTGACGAGTATACTCGACGTGAAAAACTTGAGTATATAAAAAGTAGAGGATTTTGTGCTGACACCTCATGAAGAAATGTCAAAATTTTGTGCATTGACGAGTATACTCGTCAAAAATTGTGTATTGACGAGTATATTCGTCACAAAGTGTTAAAATTTGGTGAAATGACGAGTATATTCGTCATACGTATAAATTGATTTTTGTTAATCAAAATGTAAAATTTAGTGAAAATTACTATTTTGTAAAATGAACTTTATATCTTGATAGAATTCCTCATCGAGTTTGCTCATCAATAGAGTCCCTTTCCTTACAATCTGCAAACCTTGATCGATCTGTGCTTGATTTTTAAATTTCGAAAAACACCTAAAACAAACTTATATTTTAAAAAAATATTTGATATCATCTTAATCACTTATATCTATCTGTTTATCAATTAACATTTCCTTGTAATTTTTTTTGTCCCTTTATCATTTGATGGCCACGGATTACTTGCAAACAATTCAAAGATAAATTATTGGCGTATTAGCAGTTGTAATAACCGAAATTATCAGACTGAAACTGTATGATAAAACTTATCTCCGAGATAAGATTTTTATTAAACTTATTGGCGGTTTATGGCGAAAACGTTTTTGTTTTATATTTCTATCGGTTCGGACGTAATAATAATAATAATAATAATAATAATAATATATATATAAAATTTGATAAAACGTTCCGTAATATAATAATAATAATAATAATAATATATAAAATATAAAATTTGATAAAACGTTCCGATAAATTTTTACCTTTATTCAGGGACTTTACAAGTATGATTATTTAATCTTGTATTCATCGAAAGATATGCTTTAAAATTGTTTGTTGTTATAAATATTAAATTATTATTAATTAATTTATTTACAAATTTATTTTATTACTAATTTTTATTACTAATTTTTATTAATATTTATTATTACTAATTTTTTATGTTGTTCATTTTTTAATTTAAAGAGTGTTAGTGCAAATTACATATAAATAAAAAGGATGGGAAAAGTAGATTACGATGGTGAGTAATATTTTTAGTAATTATTTATATCATAAATTCAATCAATTTTTGATATTTTTAACTTCCCGTAGGACAAGTTATCGTAATCGTCTAGAAATCAAAAATGAAAATTTTTACATACCTTTACGTTTCAGAGGTTTCTGAACATTTTGGCATACCTCAGAAAAAAAAGATGTATGTGTGTGTGTTTCACGTTTACGGATGCAAGGATCACACGATTTCAATTATATCAAAATTAAAAAATAATAATTATATAAAAAAATCGATTTCTATTGATAAGGTAACGTGCTCATTTGTTTTTGACAATGGCAGGTTCAGCCGTTTCGGAGCAAAGAGTGTAGAAAATATAAATCGAGTTTTTGAGAGCACGGAGCATCCGATTCGAATGATTCAAAAAATATTGCACTTGTACTGACAAGATGAAAAATTGATTAAATTTTTACAAAGGCAGGTCCAGCGGTTTCGGAGATTTAGAAGAAAAAGTTTTCGAAAAATCTATTTGGAAGTCGAAGTTTAGATTTTTTCGATAGTATGGATCAATCGACATGAATGAGTATCAAAAGTTTTGAGAAATTTAAAAATTAAAAAAAAAATCTATTAGCCAAGCCAAGCTTTCAAAAAATTTCAAATAATATCAGTTCAAAACGCCTAATTTTTTTTTTAAAAAAGATCGTAATTTTCTATTTTATCAATATTCAAATTTTTCAGAATTAAAAAAAAAAAAAAATTCTCAAAAAAATCGAATTTTTCTTTTCCTAAGTTCTAACAACTGTGTACGGGAAGTTCCAGCAATGTTCCTTAAGGCTCTTTTATTTACTCTCTAGTAATAACTATATTTGTATTGAAATTAATTTTTTAAACCCATTTTTTAGACTTTTTCCTGCTTTTTCAAGTAAAATGTTTCTTGAATAATTCAAATCCGATACTCCGTTCTCTCAAAAACTCGATTTCTATTTTCTGCTCTCTTTGCTCCGTATCTCCGTAACGGCTGGACCTGCCTTTGCCAAAAACTAATCAGCACATCTCCCTATCAATAGGAATCGAATGTTTTTTTTACCATTCAAATCGGTCGATCCGTGCTCCCGAAATCGTCGACGAGAGATTGTATCCACACATACATATATATAGACGTAGATTTATTCCTTTTTTTCTAAGGTATGCCAAAAATATATAGAAAATTAAAAATATTAGAAAAAAAGTTAAAAATTTAATAAATAAAGTACATATCTTGTAGTCCTGTAAATTTTCATGTATTTTACTCTTTTTTTTATATTTTCTCCTCTATAACTTCCTAAAATGTTGGACTTGCCTCTGGTGAAAATCATACCAATACAAATTTATTTTCCAAATTTTGAACATATTTTTTTAATAATTATATTATGGATTTAGTTAATTAATTAATTTATTTTATATTTTTTAGAAAAACCTATACAATACGATCCTGATTTCCATGGACCTGTTAAAAGTAGATCCTGCACAGACATTTGTTGCCTGATTGTATTTCTGGCCTTTGTCGTAGCCTGGATTGGTATCGGTATATATGGTAAGTTGAAAAAAATATTATTTTTATATATGAAAAAATATCAAGTTTACGAAAAACAATACATGATCACAGTTTGAAATTAAAGCATCGACATTGCACTACATGGACTGCTAGTCCTTATATGTCTTCTTTTGTATATAGTGCTCAACTGAGGCGTTGCATGTCTGAGCAAACATTGCCGACGACAATCGCGGAGTCTCCCGATTGATTAAATGTCACATGTCATATGTTACGTCCCTAACATAGACCTTATAATATATACGCAGGTGCATACTATTTTATGTACATTAATAATATTATTAATATCATTTCTTACAAAATTATCATCCACCACAATTGCCATTATATCATTAAAACAAAACATAAGACATATGACTTTTAATCAATCGGGAGAGTCCGCGATTGTCGTCGGCAATGTTTGCTCAGACATGTGACGTCACAGTCCCTTCTATGTTTAAGCACTTATTTTGCGCTTGACTAGACAGTGCATGTAATATAAAGTCTATGAATAAAAGTGATTTAATTGGTGACCCCGTCAAATTAATCTTGAATCATATCTACTACTTTTATTCAATATTTTGAAGTGAAACTTCCTTAGGCGCGGCTAGGGTGTGAATCCGTACAAATGCAACGGAAGTGCGTTACGGCATATAAGATAAGATAAGAACCGAGTGCCAATGGATAAATATAACATATTAACTAATAATATAACATACTAAAATTACAACATTCTAAAACAAATACAAAAATTACAATACATTTTTAAACTTTACTCCTTCAGCGTGTCACTTAAAATCACATATGTATATAAATTCTAGAGTGTACTTTTTTCATAAAATTTAAATATCTCAAATATTTGTTAGAAAACTCGTCGATTTTAGTATTTGTTGGGATAGTAGATATAATAGAGTATAACATACTAAAGTTACAACGTTCTAAAATATACAGAATTATTTAAAAAAATTCTACACTTTATTCTTTCAGTACGGAACACATATATAGTTTCTAGAAGGTACTTTTATTATGAAATGTTGAATATCTCGAATATTTGTTAGATTACATATCAGTTTTAGTATTTGTTACGATAGTAGACATAATAGAATATAACGCACTAAAATTACAACATTATAAAATATCTACAACTATTTTAAAAAAAAAATCTAAAATTTTATCATACACATCTATAGTTTCTAGAGGGCACTTTTATCATAAAATTTGAAACATCTCAAATATTTGTTAGAAAACTCATCGATTTTAATTTCTGTATCTGTAGTAGACATATTAAAATATGCTATACTATGATTTGATACAGCATTTTAAAAAGTCATTCGCTTTCGATGATATCATTTCTATACGGGTCGATTGTGATTAGTCGTCGTGTATGTGAATAGAGATCTGTCGTTGTATGCGTACCGATATATACAAGGAAATCGACATAGATAGATAAATAAACATTTTAAAGTTACATCGTAGTACAAATCTTGATTTAATGAAAAATGCCTGAATCAGAAGAATATTTTACTCTGTTCCTTGAAAATAATAAAACAAATTAAACATTTGTGCCGTGTACTAAACGTAAGTTTATTGATTAGAAATTATTTCTACATTATTCGTAGTTTCTATGAATCTTGGAAGTTATTAAAATGGAGATGAAATCATTCTATGAAATGAGATTATATCGCCAGTGATACAGTAAAAAAAATACAAACGGTCAATGAATGTATGTTAATTTTAATAACATGAAGTTCTTCAAACACAATTACACACATGATGAGTAAAGTTGCGAAAACAATATTTGTTTAGGCGTTATATAACATAATCTACTGTGTGAACGAATATTATAGAATTTATTAATCAGCAATTACTTTATTTCTCTAACGAAGGTTCAAGTCCTAAGTACTAATTACAATGACAAACCGATCATGTCATATTTGAAGTATGACTTTGATTACATTATTGTTTCTAAATATTATACATATTTAACTCATTTTTTACTAATGTTTATTATTTTATTTTTTTCAGCCGTCCAAAATGGAGACATCGACAAAATTTTGAATCCAGCCGATTCTCTTCAGAGAAAATGTGGAGTGCATCCTGACGTCAAGGATAAACCTTATTTGTTGTATTTCGATTTGTTGAAATGTGCACAAAATGGCCCTTTGCACAGCCCTTGCTTTACCCCACGGGCAAGTGTTAAAAAATAATTAAGAAACCGCTTCTGCCGCATAACAGACAAATGTTATGGCAAGGCTATGTTGTGAAGAAATTTCCATACTGAATATTGACAAAGCCATGCGGTTGGTGTGCAGTCAGGCGTATGTCTCAGACAATCATATAGAAAACCTAACATAGAAACCGCACAAATATCAAAAATATTAGATAACACAATGTTTTTATTTTCTTCTTCGACTGCTGGACGTCAAATCCGGCTCGAAGGACCAATGTTTTTCAATGTTGTTGTGATTGATTGCTTTTTGAAGGACCTTAATTTCTGTGTAAAACGCCTGACTGCACAGCAACCGCATGACCTTCGTCAATATTTATCATGGAAAAATCTTCCTAACATGGCCTTGCCATAACATTGGTCTGTTATGCGGCAGAATCGGCTCTATTAATTACAGTTTTTTTGTTTTTTTTTTTAGGTTTGTGTCGAGAAATGTCCAGACGAAGACTTCTCATTCAATGACGAATATATAAAAAAGACAGATTTTGTGACTTTACGCGAAAAAATAATTTGTAAACCCGAAGTCAACATGACGAGAGATTTGTTCGATTATAAATCAGCCAGGGAATTAATTGAAAATAGAGATTGCTTGGGGTCGTATTTTAGGAGTAAACCGATTCCATGTAAGTAATATATACCGGGCCTGCTAGTATATACATTGGGGTGGTCCTTAATATGGATATTTTCGAATTTTTTTGCTCCCAATGAAATCAATTTCAAATTAGCCAGGCACTTGCAATGACTATTAATATGCTTCAGGCATATTTATTTATATGTGGCATGCGTTGCAGTGGATAAACCACACATATAATTTGTATAAGCTGCTCTTTTATATAGGACATACGTCCGCAATCACAATTAGTGAGTTAATTTTCTATATTTTTTTTCTAAAATATTTAGGGTGGTCCTTAATATGGACATTTTAAAAATTTTTGTTCCCAAAGGCTCAAATGCTTTAAATTAATAAAAGAAAATTCTCTAAAAGTTTTTGCTCTTAATATTAACATTTAGACAATCCGCAATTCAATTAAAAGTTTCGTATATTTATTATTACCATATATTCTTGCGCCATCTGTGATAGCATTTGTGAACTTTACTTAAAAATATTTATAATTCACTTAATTTCTAATTAAATCCATGTGTACTGTTTAACGAAATATTTATTCATCATGGAATCAAAATCAATTTTGCAGCAAAATATTTATTTTATTGGTGATTTTGACACTCAAATTATCAGTAAGAAATTCCATCAAAATTACAAGTCTGCTTTCACAGATGGCGCTAGAATTTACTTAATGATATATGCTAAAAATGATATACGAAGTTTTTAATTGTATTGCGGGCTATCTAAATGTTATTATTAAGAGCAAAAGCTTTCAGAGAATTTGTTTTTATTAATTTGAAAGCATTTGAGCTTTTGGGAGTGCAGAAATTTAAAATGTCCATATTAAGGACCACCCTAATATACATATAAACCTAAAAAAAATAATATAAAATTACTTACTTATTGTGATTGTGGTCGTATGTGTTTATATAAGTGAAAGGAGAGCTAACAGAAATTATATGTGTAGTTTATCTACTGCAACGCATGCCACATATAAATAAATGTTCCTGGAGCATATTAATTAGGTTTATACAAAAACCGACATTTCAGAAAACCGGTTTTCGAATTTTATTTTCACTAAAAACCGGTTTTAAAACCGGTTTTCGAATTTTATATAGAAAATAAACTTTTGCTTGAATATTCTGTAATTTATCCGCAAATTTAGTGTAATTTA